CTTCTCTGGGAATTGTTTGCTTAAGAGTCAGAAGGGACCTAAGAGTGTGAACACCCAGTTTTCTAGGAGACAGTTGAAGCTGTGACATCCAAAGTCCCACAGCAGGCGATAGACCTGTTACTAGAGCCAGGGCACTGATTCTGGGGGGAGTCCATCTTCTCTGTGGACAAGTGGTTGACCAGTCTTGGCATAAAACAACCCCTAGTATGACTCTTCCATTTTTTTTTTTCCTCTTGAGACAGCTAAGTGGTTTAGTGGATAAAGCACCAGGCCTGGAGTCAGGAAGACTTGAGTTCAAATCCAGCCTCAGATACTTATTAGCTGTGTGACCCTGGGCAAGTCACTTAACCTCAGTTTCCCCATCTGTAAAATGGGGATAATAATAGCACTTACCTCCTAAGGTTGTTTTGAGGATCAAATGAGATAATAGTTGTAAAGCCTGGCCCATAGTAGGCACTATGTAAGTGCTCATTCCCTCCCTTTCCCTTCTTTTCTTGTGGTCCACAGTCAGGAGAGAGGAGGTCTTAAAAGTTTGTTTTTGCTTTCTCTCCCCAGAACATTATTCACAGCCCAACACCCCTTGGGGACGAGATGGCCCATCATCTGTATGTACTACAGGCACTCATGCTGGGGCTTCTGGAGCCACGGATGCGTACACCATTGGACCCTTATAACCAGGTATGGACATCTGTACAGACTGGCAATATATCCAGTAAAGACTTGCCCAAGGGTGTTTGCCCTTGTCACGGGGAGGGGGAGCACAGGGGGTTATTTCCTTCTCCCATCCTTAGGAGCAGCGGGAGCAGCTGCAGGCCTTGCGCCAAGCAGCCTTCGAGATGGACGGGGAGTCCCAGGGCAGTGGACTGAGTGCTGACCGTCGCCGATCCCTCTGTGCCCGGGAGTTCCGAAAACTCGGTTTCTCTGTGAGTGATCACCCACTGCTCCTTTTCCCTACCATCTAACAGCTGCTGGCCCTGGCCCTGGCCCCAATGCCCCTCTGCCTATCCCTGCCCTTGGGGCATCAAAAATCTGATCTTCTTTCCCCTTGGTTGTCTGGGTTACTTCTCCCATTGAGGTATCTCTGTCCCCTTCCTTGACCCAGAACAGCAACCCTGCCCAGGACCTGGAGCAAGCCCCGCCAGGGCTGCTGGCCCTTGACAACATGCTCTACTTTTCCAGCCATGCACCCAATGCCTACAGCCGGGTTAGTGACTGCAAGCCCATCTTTCCTTCCTCTGCCCCATCCACTTGCCCTCATTCGCTCGTGCCAGTGCCCGTCACCCCCAAATCCACCACCTCTCTCCCATCAAGTCCTTCTGTCTTCTGTGCTGTCCCTCAGCTCCTGTGTCTGGATCTAGTTTTATGTCCCATCTCCCCATTCCCCTCCATCCCTGAGCCTGGGCCCTCTCCTGGGGATTAAGTTGAACCTCCCCTTCTTCCCTGGCCCCCTCCCCACCAGTTTGTGCTGGAGAACAGTAGTCGGGAGGACAGACATGAGTGTCCCTTTGCCCGGAGCAGCATCCAGCTCACTCTGTTGCTGTGTGAGCTGTTGCGCATTGGGGAGCCCTGTGAGTTAGCGACCCCTGCCCTACTTCCTAGTATCTGTATTGCCCACGGGACACTGGGGAGGGGAGGGTGGGCAGAGTGGTCCCAACACTGCTTACCTTGTTTGTGCCTCAGCTTCTCAGTGTTTCCCCATCTTCTATACCCTCTTCCCCTGCCTCTGGAGCTCAGGAAGGGGCACCAGGTCAGCCATAGGGTTGGGCTATCCTGGCGAAGGGCCCCGTGGGCATCCTGGATGGATCTGGAGGTTGGGGGAGGTCTAAAAGCCTGCTTATGTAAGTGATCTTCCTGAGCTCTTCTCCCTCCCTCCATGCCCTCCAAGGCTCTGAGACTGCCCAGGACTTCTCTCCAATGTTCTTTGGGCAAGACAACAGTTTCCAGGAGTTGTTCTGCGTCTGCATTCAGTTGCTCAACAAGACGTGGAAGGAGATGCGGGCCACCCAGGAGGACTTTGACAAAGTAAGAAGGAAACCTACGGGCTGGTGTTGGGAGGAGGGGTTTGGAAAAGGGGAGCCCCTGGCACAGGAGAACGTGTGGACGCTGAGGGCATTCATTCCCAGGTAATGCAGGTGGTTCGGGAACAACTGACTCGGACCCTGGCACTGAAGCCGACCTCCCTAGAGCTGTTCAGGACCAAGGTGAACACCCTCAGCTACAGCGAGGTGCTGAAGCTCCGGCAGACTGAGAGAATGCACCAGGAAGGCACGATGGCCCGACCCATCCTGTGAGCCCCTCGAGGGAAGGGGGGGTGGCAAGCAGTGCCCCGGGCCTCCCCCTCACTGAGGCTTCCCCCCAGCTCCGGTCCCTGGCTCTGATGCCCATCCTTGCTACTAAGAATGAGAGCTCGTGCCCCACAGCTCACCAGGCATAGAACTGAGAGTGACCGGAGGTTGTCTTGTACCACCCCCTCCTTTCAGAGCGAAGGACTTTTGAGGCCTGGAGGCGTGGACTGACCTTCACATAGTAGGGGCTCCTTTTTTGGAGGGTCTGGTATATTGATCTATGTAAGAAGCTGCCTTTAGTGAGGCAGAGCTGTCGCTGTTGGGAGAGGTGGTGACATGCCTAGGGTCACTCAGTGAGTAGAGCTGAAGAGCTGGATTGGAATCTAGTCCCGTTGTCACTGAGGCCAGCTCTTCATTACTATGATGCTCAAATAGTGAGACAGTAAATCACAGAGCCAGGATTTGAACCCATGTCTTCTAATGTCAAGGTTTTCCAAGCACTTTCCTCACCATCGCCCTGTGAGGGAGGGGAAACGGAGCAGGATTCTCCTTTAGAAGAGGAGACAAATACCCAGAGTCATTGCTAGTAAGACAGGAGTTGAGTCTGCAACTCTGGCCTTTGGCCTCCTTGGTCCCACTTGGAGGGTACCATAGGCTGACAGTCTTTCCAGCAGGCCCCTTTTGGCCACAGTCTGGGAAACGTAGGACCCCTTCTCAGAATCGTGTGTTTAAATGACTGAAGGAAAGGCTAAATTTCTAGTGAAAATAAAGGTGTGTTGTTTTTTCCAAGTTCACAGTCACCCTGAAATCTACCCACAGATACTCTGGGGGGGGGGTGTCCTACAGAACCCTGCTCTAGACCATACTCTGTAAGCAGTGTCTCCCCTGCCCACAGGGAGCTTCGGGAGAGGCTGAAGCCAGAGCTTTTGGGGCTGATCCGTCAGCAGCGGCTGCTCCGGCTCTGTGAGGGGACGCTTTTCCGTAAGATCAGCAGCCGCCGGCGACAGGGTCAGTGTGGATGAGCTGGGGGAGGGGAGGGAGGGCCCAAGCTCAGCTCGTGGAAGGGGTCCCAGATTGCCAGCTTCCCCCTCACCCCACACCTCCTCTCCCTGTCCCTGCAGACAAAGTCTGGTTCTGCTGTTTGTCCCCCAACCACAAGATGCTGCAATATGGGGACGTGGAGGAAGGAGCAACCCAGCCCTCTCCAGACAGCCTGCCTGACAAGCGTATGAGGGTCCCCCGTGACACTGCAGGAGGGATCCCCGTGGCACTGCCACTCTCAGGGGTGGGATCCCAAGAAGCTTGGTCCCCAATTCTCTCCAGCCTCCCCTACCCCTTCCAGGGTGATCCGTGGTAACCTAATCCCTCCTCCCCACAGTCCCTGTGGCTGAGATGAGGGCACTGCTGCTGGGCAAGGACTGTCCCCACGTTCGGGAGAAAGGCTCTGGGAAACAGAACAAGGTGAGGACGGGCGAGGGAAGCAGCTCTGGGGTCCCGTCTGCTCCTTGGACAAGAGGCAGACCAGCCTTTGTTGCCATACAGCATCCCGTCTTCATTATCTGAATCCTTACATTCCTTCTCACCTAGGAAGGTGGAGAGGAATGTGTTTTGTAAACCTTTAACTGCCACAGAAGTGTGACCCAATATTGGAGAGGCAGCCTTGTGTCCTAGGGAGATGGCTGGCCTTGAAGGCAAGCTCATGGCCCTGCAACGTCACAACCTCTCTGGACTTCAGTTTCCTCATCTATAAAATGGGCATGATGCTTGCACTGCCTGCCTCACAGGCCTGTTGGAGAGAAAGCAGCTCTGTAGAGCATAGAGCAACAGAAAAATGGATGTGCAATTCCTCATGGCTCACTGGCTCGCTCGCTCCTTCCTCCCTCACTCCATCCCACCTTTGGGCCTCACTGCTGCCCTCTTCCCTTCAGGACATCTGTGAACTTGCCTTCTCAGTCAGCTACGATGCTGGGGAAGAAGAGGCCTATCTCAACTTCATTGCCCCCTCTAAACGGGAGGTGAGTGCCCAGGCAGGGTCAGTCTGGGAGATCCATCGGGCAGATGGGAGGATGCAGGTGGGCTGGGAGGGGAAGGAGGGCTGAGGGCTTGGCTCTAGATCTGAAGAAAGAAATCGACGTGGCCTGCTCTCTAGTTCTGCCTGTGGACCGACGGGCTGAGCGCCTTGCTAGGTGGGGCCATGGGCAGTGAGCAGACACGGATGGAGCTGGAGCTGCTGCTGGCAATGGAGACCAAGCTTCGGCTGCTGGAGTTGGAGAATGTGCCCATCCCTGACCAGCCACCCCCTGTTCCCCCCCCACCTACTAACTACAACTTCTGCTACGACTGCAGCATTGCTGAGCCTTAAGATGGGGCTCAGAGGCTTGGGGAGGGGAGGGCTTCCACCTTCAAATCATTCTCAGGGAAGGGAATGGGGCTCCCCTATGCTGGGCCTCTCCATTTTGGTCTCGCCCACTTCCTGTTAAATTATTGGAATACGGTGGAATCTCACTTTTCCCCACCTCCCCCTGCCTAGGAAAACAACTATCACACGTGCTGCTATTAGGGTGTAGGGAGGGGCAGTCACACAACTGGACAGCTGATCAGGGTAGTCACTACTAAGAAATAAAGCCTGCTCAGTTCCTCCGGCCTGTGTCCTAGAACCTTCGAGCTGAGACAGGAGAGGGTGGCGTAGGGAAAAAAGTGCTGGGTGTAGAGTCCGACGGCCTGGGTTTGAAATCCCAGCTGTGCTCCTGGGTGATTGTGGGCTGAGCTATTCTCACTCAGGGCTTTACTTTCTAGCTGGTCACTACAGTTCCTTCTGGCTGTGGATCCTGTGATCATTTTGGGGTTCAAGTGTGGGCCAGCTAGAGATACAAAGCTGGTCTCGTGGGGCTGTTCTTGGTTCTGAAGACCCTTTCCAGAAGGTTTCCAGACAGTTCCATAGCAGCAGAACTGGAACTCATGACAAGCTTTCCAAGGGGGCAACACTCACTTAGGTCTCAGGCAAATCACTTTCCTCTTGCTTTCCTCATCTTTTGAATGAAAGGAGGCAAATGGAGGATGTCTGAGGCTCCTCCCAGTTCAGAGTCCTAGGGTCCCTCGACCTGAGAACCCACGACATAGAGATGAGATCAGAGATTTTTAATTTTTGCAGATCCAGCAAAGAATTCAGTATTGGGTGGGTCACAGCACTAAGGAGCTGGGGGAGAAGCCCAGATCCCCCACACCAGAAACAAAGACTCATTTGTAAACGAAGGCCAGGGATTGAGATGTCAGAAGTGATGAGCAGAAGCCCAAGGCCCAGATACTATGCTGTTCCAGTCCCTAGGATTCAGCCTAACCTTGCCTGTGATATCAGGCCTGGCCTCTAGGAAAGGGGCTGGGAGAACCTGAGCAGCACTAGGCCGTGTTGGGGTTCTGCTGTTTGAGCTGAGCTGGAGGCTCCCTTGGAGGCCGGGAGCACCGAGCCAGGGTGGGAAGGGCAAGGGAGGAACACGGTGCTCCCCCACTTAGACTCCAACAGAGGCCGTGCAACAGATGAAGCGATGCCAAGGAAGCAGTTCCCCTGTGCCCCCAATCCTGGCAAAGGAGTCTTTGACCGAGGAGGGGAGGTGAGCAGCGTTGACCCTTCTCTGGCTCCAGGAAAGACGGTGGGAATGGCGAGGCACCCAAGCTCAGGGCACTGGACAGCAGCTTGCCAAGGTTACAGGGGACAGTGAAGTGGTGGGTGGGCTAAGGATTGGGGTTCAGTGACTGACCTTTATTCAGAGGCTCATGGCTAGGTCAGCCCCCCCAACAAAGCGGGACTGGACGCAGGTCACGTGGGGCAGCTGGGCTTGGAAGTGCCTCACAGCAGCCACGCTGATGCCCTGGCACATGGACACGTCCAGCACCGTCAGCTGCCGGCACGCCTTTCTGATGCTGACCAGTGTCCTGTGGGGGGAAGGAGTCAGTGCCACTCCTTCCCTCACCTCTACACTGGAGCTGAACCCCTGCACGTCCCCCATCCCCCAGGAGGGTCACTCACTGCTCCGTGAGCTGGTTACAGCTGGAGAGGTTTAGGTGCTGGAGCCTCTTCCAGAAGTTGACGGCCTGGTCCCAGCCCCTGTCGCTCAGGCGGCTGCAGTGACTCAGGGCGAGGTGCTCCAAGCTGGGACATCCCCTGGCCACGGCTACCAGCCCTGTGTCTGTGAGCTCCAGGAGCAGGCTCAGGGATAGCCGCTTCAGACAGGGAAACTTCAGGACCTGCAGAGATGGTTGCTGCTCATCCAGGGGTCCTGGCCCAGTGTAGCTTGGCCCTGTGTTCCTCCGGGCCAAGGGACCCCAATCTAAGGTCCCTTCTCACCTGAAAGACCAGTCAGTACTATCTAGTGGGGTCCAGACAGGGGGAGTAGTGAGGAGTAGGGTGTGGGGAAAACAGCGCCGGACTTTGTACTCAGAGGACATATGGCCAATCCTGCTTCTGCTCTTTACAGGACCACAAGATTTAGGTGGTCCATCTCAAATGCTGTCTAAGCATCAGAGGTTTCAGATTTAGAAATGGAAGGGCTACGAGAGATCATCTCGTCTGACCCATTTTACAGAAGAGTAGTGAGGCCCGGAGTCATTGGTAGAGGTCAGATTTGAATCCAGGTCTTCTGACTCAAAATCCACCCTTCACTGCCTGTGTGACCTTGGGAAAGTCACTTACTTTTTTTTTTTTTTTCTCTGTACAATCGGCGGTTCAGATGATGTTTAGGTCCCTTCCAGTCCTATGATCTGATCCTCTGACCCTGCCTGACTTCTGCAGGACCTTAGTCCCCGCAGCCCTAAGAGCCAGCCCCCCCCCATCTCCCCATTGCTCCCCCTTCCACTGCAGGGCTCCGGGCACCTGGGTCAGGCTGGTGTCTGTCAGCTTGCTGCAGGCAGTGAGGTCGAGCTCCTGCAAGGCCCTCAGCATGAGCAGTGAGGGGGCGAGCTGCTTGGGAGTCTCTTGGGAGGGGGCCAAGGGCTCTGGAGGCAGCTGTGGGAGGAAGAAGCCCATGTCTCCAAAGTTCCTGCTTAACTTCGGACCCTTGTCCTTCTGGTGAGAGAAGCCAATGGGGAGGGGGTGGGGGAGGGGAGGGGGGACAGGAAGACCGTTAGAGCGCAGCCGAGACCCCAGGGCCTGTCTACTCTCATGGGAGGGGTGGAGGAGATTCAGCTTGGGGTGTCCCACAGGGCGAGGCTGCTGCTCAGAGCCCTGGGACCACCGAGGCTGGGCCAGACTCATCATGATAGCTCATGAGTACTTTAAAGTTTACAAAACACTTTCCTCAGTAACCCTGGGAGGCAAGGAGAACAGATATAATCCCCATTTTCCAGATGAGAAAACTGAAGCTCTAAGATGGGCGGCTCTTTGCTTAAGGTTATAGAGTTAGGAATGAAGAGCCAGGTGGGTCTCCTGAGCGCTCTCCACTCCACCACACTGCTTTGTAAGTACTGAGCTCTCAGACAAAGGGACAAAGCCAGGCAGGCCTGGGCAAGGTAGAGGGCTGAGGACACTCCCAAGTGACCTTAGACTCTTCCCCAATTCCCCGCTTGCCCTCCTCACCTTCTCACCTGGATCCACCAGCCCCAGGAGCCCCGAGTCAGTGATTTCCTTACACCAAGCCAGACGTAGGACAGTGAGCTGGGGCAGACTGGCAGAGATGGCCAGCAGGCTGCTGTTGGTGAGGGACATGCAGGATGACAGGTCTAGCACCTTCAGGCTGGAGCCAAGCCCCTGGGCCAGGGAGATCACTGACTTGTCCTGGGAAGGAAGGGAGGGGGAGAGGAGAGGGGAAGGATGGACTGAGCAACTTGTAATTTCTTAGGCCAAGAAGAGTCCTCTTAGGAAATTCCAGAGCCAGAGGCCTTCCTGGCCTAGACAGACAGATTTACGTGTGTCCTAATTTACAGATAAACAGGGAAGAAGCTCCATGACCTCTCTGGCTCCCCGTCCTATTCTTCTGTTTGTCAGCTTTTATTGCGGGAAGGTCTTGCTGTAGTCTAACTTAGAATGAGGCAGCTGGACTAAGGCGTCTTTCAGCTCTAACACTGAGATACTGGCTCCTAAATCATGTCCCTGCTCTGGTCTCTTTTCTATCACTTCAGCCTGCCACCCCTAACCCTAACCCTACTGCAGCTATCCTCCCTACAGCCCGGTCACGTCACCATCCTGCTCCAAAACCTTCAGTGGCTGTCCGGAGCTCACAAAATTAAGTCCCAATGTCTTCACTTGATGGCCAAGGGCCTAGATGACCGATGGCTGGAAGCCTTTCATACCTCCAGCCAAACAGGGCTATTCATCATTCTCAGGCAAATTCCTGCCTGATGCCAGTCCACTCCCCTCCCCGTGGGGTGCAGGTGAAGGTGGTTCCCTCCCCTCCACCTTCCTGACCTCTCCTTCAAAGCCCACCTCCTCCAGGATGCTTTCTGGGTCATCCCAACCCTCAGTGAACATTATATTCCCTTAATTCATTAAGCACTTACTATATGGACCACTCATGGGCACTTGGCCTGGGATGCCTTGCGTCATGATACAAATGCTATTGTACCAAAGCCTCCTCTGCTGATGTTGGGCTGTGGCCTGGACAGAGGAGGGCCTAGGTAGTTTCTTGAAGGCTATGCTAATAGCCTGTTGCCTATGCTGGAATAATGACAATAGCACTTAGCAATAGTATGGGCCCAGTGGCAGTGTGGGTGCCTCATCTGAGGACCACCTCAGGTATGTTCAGACAGGCTCAGCATCAGAGGGGAGGGATAAAACTGACTGCTACACTGGGGAAGGGTCTGGTCTGGATCACCGAAGGTCTTGTGAGATCTCAAATCCTTGATATAACCATCTCTCTGTCTTTTCACATAGCTCTGTCCTCACTTCCCAAGCTGACTGTAGGTCCTTCGACAGCTGGGACCAGATCTCACCAATCTAGCTAGCATTTACAGAGTGCTTTGTTTGCAAAGTCCTCATTCTGCTTGTTTTATCTCAACAAATACAGCTTAAGAGAAAAGGCCTGGGTCTGGATCCATCACTTAGTAGCTGCATGACCACAGGTGAGTCTCATGAGGCACAATTTTCTGAGCTGGAATATGAGGATAACACTATTTGCACCTGCCTCCTATAAATTTTGGAAGAAGGTGCTTTGCAAACCTTCAGGAGACTCAAGCATGTACATTGCTCTGATTGTGGCCATCGTGATTGGGGACAGCTTATGGTAGCTGCCCCCCTGAAACTGAGCCTGCAATGCACTGTCACAGCTGCCTCACCACGAGGCATCAGAAGGGGAAGACTTTTGCAGAGGAGAATGACTATAACTGTCCTGGGAGTCATCTCTCAATATATCTGATGCTCACCTAAACTCGGTTTTAACTAACAGAAGACACCGGGATTGTGCTGGTCCCCTAAGGGTGGCTCTGGGCATCTCAGGGCACGGCCCTGGTCACAGAGCACAAGACGAAGCCTTCTGTCTGAACTCCTTCCTCCTTGAGCCTCAGGAAAGAAGGAAGGCAAGGACACCCTCACTCACCTTCAGCAAGGAGCAGTAGGCTAGCCTGAGAGATGTGAGGTGGGGTGGGGGGCCCTTGGGGAACTCCAGCACCTTGGCCAGCTCCCTCCCACTCACAAGGCAGCACTCGGCCACGTCTAGGCTTCTCAGCTCCCGAAGCCCGTGCAGGGCTGCGAAGCCAGCATCCGTCAGCCGTTGCAGCTTCTCCATCCGCAGATGCCGCAGGCCCCGCAGGCCCCGGGACACAGCCAGAAGTGCCCCATCCACTAGCTCTGAGCAGCCACTCAGGTCCAGGCTGGTTAGGCCTTGCTGCTGATGGCACAGGGCTGCCACAGCCTCAGTGGAGATGTCCCGGCAGCCCCGCAAGGTCAGCTCCTGCAGATGGAGTCCCACCACCTGTCCCAGGGCCTGAAGAGCTGTGGAAGGCAGGTTTGTGCCACTCAGGTCCAGGGCCACAAGACGACTGGCTCGCTCCTTCAGGAAGCAGAGTATGTTGCGGAAGGAAAGGATGGCAGAAGAGGCTTGCTGAGCAAACAGATTGTGGTGGGGGTCAAAGGTGATGTGGCAGTGGGCCAGGGAGAGGTGCTCCAGTTTGGGGGCACAGCTGCTCAGGCGGTTGAAGCTGGCGTCTGCCAAATAGTGCAGGTTAGCCAGGTTGAGCTCCCGGAGGTTCGCCAGGGCCTCCCGCACCTGCTGTACTGTTTCTGGCTGGTCCAGGAGCATCCCTGACATGAAAAGGCTGTTGCAGCCACTGAGGTCCAAGACCTGGAGCCCAGAGCAGCTTGTGATGAGCGCTACAAAAGAAGCTTCTGTCAGGGTGCCCCCACGCAGGGACAGACTGTGCAGGTGCGGGCCTAGGAAGTAGGAGATTGACTGGAGCACATTACTGGTATCCGAGGAACTGTCCATGTTGGTAAGGCTAATACAAGATACTTGCCTGCGGCTCAGACTCTTGATCGAGGTGAGGGAAGCAGATGCCACAGGGATGATATACCGAACATCTGTCTGGGGGAAGAGACATAAAAGCTACTGTTACCTAGTCTAAGGAGATGCTTAGCCTTAGCATCACACTGGTGTGGGAAGAAATTGAGGCTCTGGATCTGTCCAGGTATAACTTAGGGCCAGAGATGAAAGGCAGGGAGTAAGGAAGAAAATAAGAAAAGGGCCTAAGAGTGGGACTATGGGCATCTCTCTGTGGGAGATGGATCAGAGTGAGGTCCAAGAGAGAGATGGCTATCAGAAGAGCAAGTATGGATGGGAATACAGATGGAGGACATCTGAGAAGCCAGGAATGTTGCAGTAAATGGGAAAAAATGATACCTATGGAGAAGTAGATACTTAGTACCTAAAAAGAGGGTATATGTGGCTTACCGGGCCAAGCACTGTGCAACAGGGGAATGGTGTTATGGTAGGATGCCAGGCAGAAAGCATAATAGGAAACCCAAGTCCCCAGTGGCAGCCCCCAAACCCAAGGGTAGCCAAGTGTCTCCAGCATTAGGAATGGATGACTGGACATGTCAACTGCTAATGATTCCAGCTGTTTCAGATGGAGGCCCCTGGGTCTAAACCTAGGTCCCCAAACCCAGAAGACTTGGAGCCCCTGAGCATCCAGCACTTTATTACAAACACATGCAAAATTCCAAGAATGCTCTTAGGCAGAAGACACTGAGAAAAGGCTTGAGGCAATCCTCTTTGTCTGGACACTATGAGGCTGGTACAAGACGATCCTGGCTTCTCAACCCCCCAGAGTGCTCATTTCAGTAGCTAGCGGGGGTCTTGACGAGCTGATCAGAACATCTACAGACATTCTTGGCTTCTCAGCCCATTGCTCAGGAGCACAGAGGTCACCCCAGTGGGGAAGGAAGAAGGGCAGATACTTGTTAGAGGAAGCAAAGGGATGTGAGGCTCCAGAGAAGCCAGGGCAGCAGACCTTGGCAGCCAGCATGGTGGTGTGGGGAGACTACCTAGAAGAGAAGAGAGCTGTGGGAGACAGTGGGTTCAGGACATTGGAAAACTATCTAATTTAGGAAGGAACTGAGATGAGGAGGGAAGAGGTGACCATTTCTTATACTTTTTCCCTCACAGACTTGTTATGAGTAAAGTTAGAGAAATGTGAATTATTAGTATTATTAATTAGTCTAGCATAGTTTTCTGTACAAGTTGGTGCTTAATAAATATTTATTTGATGACCCAAACATTCCTTGGGAGGGCACCTGAAAAATTCAGAAGAGTATTGATCTTGTTTTTGTTAGATAAATTTGTAATAGTCAATTATCTCAGAAATAAAGATTGAAATAAATAATTGGAGAAACATTCATTGCTCATGGGTAGGTCAAGCCAATATAATAAAAATGACAATACTACCTGAATTAATTAATTTATTTATTGCTATGCCAAACTCCCAAAAGAACATTTTTTTTAAGTGTAAAAGAGTTTTAATTTAAGCTATAAGTATGGCAAGGACCTTTTATGTTAACAGGGTTGTCATAGCTGTGAAAGGAAGCATCACAAATATTGGTTTTAGCATATCCCTTGTGAATGCACCCCCTCAGAGGAGCCAAAAGAATATTTTAAAGACCTAGAAAAAATAATAAAAATTTCAAGGGTAATAATTTTTTTTAAAAGTGGTAAGACAAGGGGGTCTGTTGATACCAGATCTCAAATTATACCACAAAGCACCGATCATTAAAACAATTTGGAACCGGCTTTAAAAATAAGAGGTCAATCAATGGAACAGATTAGGTATATATCAACAAGATGCAAACAAAGGCAGGAGAATATCGTTTGATAAATCCAAAGACCCCAGTACTGGGAGGAAGGCCTATTTGACAAACACTTCTGGGAAAACTGGTCACAGTCTGGCAGCAATTAGGTGTAGACCAATACCTTTCACCATACACCAAGATAAACTCCAAATGGACACAGGCACCAAATATAAAGGTCACATCATAAACAAATTAGGGAAGCAAGAAAGAAATTACCTTTTGGATCCGGATAGGGAAAGAGTTCATGAATAAACAAATGATAGCATTACACAAGGAAGATGGACACTTTTGATTATATAAAATTTAAGAAATTTTGTAAAAATGAATCTAAAGTAGCAAAAATTAGAAGTGAAAAGGTAACCAGGAAAAAAATCTTTGCAGCAAATTTCTTTAATAAAGGTCTTATATCCATGATATATAAGGAACTGATTCAACCTAATAAGACTAAGAGCCATTCCCCAGTAGACAAATGGTCAAAGGATATAAACAGGACATTTTTAAAGGAAGAAATTGAAGCTATCAACAATCACACAAAAATGCTTTATCATTAAATCTCTAAAAATGAAAGAAATGCAAATTAATGTAATTTGGGGGTTCTACTTCACACCTATCAGTCTGGCAAAGATGACAAAAGAAGAAAATAACAAATATTGGAACAAACAGACCATGTGCCCTGTTGGTAGAGCTGTGAATTGGCCCAGTCACTCTGGAAAGCAATTTGGAAAGATGCCCAGAAAGTTAGTTACCAAACTGTGCATTACCTCTGACCCAGTTATACCACGATTAGGCCTGTGTGTAAACAAAGAAAGAGGAAAAGGATTCAAACACACACAATATGTTTATAGCAGCTCTTTTCATTGTAGCCAAAACTGAGAAATTAAAAGGTTGTCCTGTTGGGGAACGGCTAAATAATTTGTGGTATATGAATGTAATAGAATGTTATTGTGCTATAAAAAATGATAAAATGGGCTGTTTCAGGGAAAACTGGGAAAATCTACATGAACTGATACAGAGCAAAGTGAAGAGAACTAGGATAACAATTTCTATAATGATAACTTTATAGAGAAAAACAATTCTGAAAGACTTTAGAACTGTATTAACACAATGATAAACCACAAGTCATGAAGAATGAAAATGAAACACACCATTCACCTCCTGACAGAAAAGTAATGAACTTAAAATACAGAAAGAGACATATATTTTTGGATATGACTAACATGGGAATTAATTTTGCTGGACTATGAAGTTATATATTGAGGGCTTTAGTTTTCATTTAAAAATGTTTTTGCTCAATAGTGAGGACAGATGAATAAAAATTAATTTTTAAAAATTAACCAAAAATAAAAACCTTTAAAAACAGACTATTCTTTCTATTATCCATATGTGTTTACCTATTTTTAATCCCAGGAGGGTTTCTCCCATACTTTCAGCACTGCTCAGGGAAGGCAAATTCCCTTAGATTCAGAGAAGTAAACAAAAATAATCATAGAGCTAATTACAAAAGTCAAATATTACATGGTAAGCCATTCTACAGGATTCCCACAAAAGAGAATCAGAAAAATAGAATTATAGGACTTGGGGCTATAAGTAAAAGGTTAAAGGAAAAACCAACCAATAAGTCCTTTTGTGCAGGACTCATAGAAACAAGAAGAGGAAGCCAAGCCTACCCTACCCATTTCCATAAGGGACAGGGGAGTAGATAATACAAGTGGTGATAAGCACCAAATGGACCTATCTGGTCATGGATGGGCTCATAGTCCTTGCCTTAAAGTAGTAATAATAGTAGAATACCAGCAAGCTTACAAAGCCTAAGAAGAACAGGAGTGGCTTCTTGAGGAGAATGAACCAGCCTTTAGGTAAGATAGCCTGGTGACTTCCACCTCCAGTGGGGGAAGAGGTGAGGGGTGGGGAGAAGTAATAAAAAGTACCTTAGAAAGTAGAATTTTAAAGCTGGGATGGATGTTTTTAGTTCATCTAGTCTAAGTCTCTTATTACACAGAGGAGCAAACTGAGGCACAGAGAAGCTCGAAGGATCAAGAAATAATATCTCTTAAAGATGGTAAAAACTCATTTTGAAGAACACAGGCTAGTGAAAGTATGTTTAATAGAAATGTATATGTATAGCCTATATCAGATGGCACGCCATCTTGGGGAGGGAGGTGGAGAGGGAGGGAGAGAAAAATTTAAAACTCAAAAGCTTATGGAAGTGATTGTTGATAATTCAAAATAAATTAGTAAAAAAAAAAAAAGAGTACAGGCTAAATGCCGTATACGCAAGTTGCATAAACTTGTTATACCTTGATGAAAACTGCAGTATTAGATAAACGTGTGTGTATAAAAGAATTACTTTAGAAGAAGCAAGGTGCTCCAAGTGTTACCAAGGACAGTCGGCAAGCTCGGCCACCTCAGCCAGCAGTCCAGCCAGCCCCACTGGTCTCTAGAAAGGTTCGAGCGCTAGACTGCACATTTCTCTTTCCTTCCCTCCCCTAGCAGCACTATACTTGTCTCTTTCCAGCTATCAGAGGAAACAATTGGGTAAAAATACAAATGATAACAAGATTAGATCTCCCATAGGTTGGCATATCAGAAACCAGCAAGCAGCCTGTGGCTAGAAAAGCTAATCGTCAAAGGGGCCAGCACAGTACGGCAGAGATCCCATCCAGGTGCCCAGACAGAGTCTCCAGCCTGCCTCTCTCTGGGTGCTATGGTAAGCTAGGTACCCAGGTGACCTGAGCTCACTCCCCAAGTAACAGCTGTGGACTAACTGACAGCCCACAGGCCTCTGCTTGGGGAGCTTTGGTTAGGATATTTATAGTCTGGGGCCTCAAACAGCAGGTGGGGAGACAGGATCCAGGAGTTCTATTTTCAGGTCACCCACGGGTGAGCCTTTTATTCTGAGATCACTAGTACAGAGGCCAACGAAGACCAAAGGGGCAGCCTCTATGAAGAAGCCTCTTCTTCCTGGTGAGGCCTCAAAACCAAAACTGCTCGGGATATTTAGCCTGGAGAAGACAAGGCTCAAGAGGGAACATGGCCATGTTGTCCATGTAGCTGAAGGATTATCATTTAGAAGGGGCTGAACAAGGATTAATGATTTCAGCTCAATGTAAGGAGGAGTTTCCTAACAATCGGAACTGATCTAAAAAGGAAAGGAAAGGGAAGCAAAAAGGCTTAGTGGGAAGAGCTCCGGATTTGAAGCCAGATGACATGGCTCAGCTACTGACTCTCTGTGTGAACTTGAGAGCAAGTAACTTACCCTTT